TGCCCGGCAGCACAGGCGTCCTCTGCTCCGGGAGGCCCCACGCTCCCTTTCAGCCGCATCCACGGCTCCTCTGAAGCTGCACGGAGCAGCAAGGTCTCCACCGAAAACGCTGACTTCGAGAAGCTGGCTTTCAGCAGCTCTCCTAGGCGCTGGTGACAGTGCTGAAGCAAGCCCTGGCTGAAAAGCGTTAAGCCCAGGGCTGGCTCTTCTGCTGTGAAATGCTGCTCTCCTAGATCACCCCTGGCTTGCTCCAGGTGTGTTTCCACCTGTTCTGCTAGAGCTGTGGGTCCGTAACACAGGAATACTGGTGGGACAAGTGGAAGGTGCAGCAGTGGAACCAGGCGTACGGGGGTTAAGGCAACATCACGGAGAAAGCACGCTTCTGAGGAGGAAGTAGACTGGGTCCCAGACATTCAGCAGCAGCGTCGCTGCCATGCACGCAGGGGACATGAACTTGAGTCCTGCGGGGCTCTTTTGTAGCCCTTGACAGGCTGGGTGTTCCATCTGCTGTGGTGGCCAGCTTAGTTGCAGGTCTACAATCATCTCGACAGTTCATCTATAGCTCTGCCTCACTGGGGGTACACTGGGGCAGTCCACAGGTCCCCCTGCAGAGGGGCCCCACCTCAGCCATCCAGCCTTTTACTCTGCATCATACTTTTATCAGCCCAGTGGAAACTTTCTGCAACACTCCCTTTCATTTTGCATCAGCCAGTGCTTAAGCGAACTGACTTCACGCTTGGCCCGTACGCACGGGTATTCACAGCTTCTGAGCAGGGAAGCAGAGGAACACGCGGCACCCGCTCGCCTCCCATGGAATCTTGTATGCAGTGGCACAACCGCTAGAAAGCCTAAAGGGTCAGGATACTCAGGCTTTCCTCCTTCCATTCTCTTTAAGTCTCTGAAAACTGGTAGCACAGGGTCCTAGAATAACTTTGATGGTGTTGCTCAGGAACCATGGGTGTGAGGAGAAACAGGCTGATATGCTTCCCATTCCCCCCGGACAAACCAGACTCAGACAGGTTTGCAGCACACCTCGAGCACGCTTGCTGCAGGAAGCAAAGACCCCATGACCACAGCCAGAGGCAAGAGATATACCCAGTCCAAACAGCTGGGGTTAGCCACAGCTCTCTGTCAGAGAAGCAGTTTATTATGTAAAGAGGGAAGAGGAATAACCATCTGTCATGCCTATAGGGTCATACCCTGCTACCAGCTGAAAGCCTAACGCTAAAACCGCTTTAACATTACTAGCACCTTTGGCAGCCTCTGCATCAATACCAAAATGCTTTTCCTGCATCAGCTGCATGTCCAGGATTCCTCAGGAGACAGTAAGCCCATCCTAACATCACCCTTTTACCAGCACTCCCCCAGAATACCCCAAGGTAGAATACGGTACAACAGTTACCCACCCAGATCCATTCCATCCCCTCCAGCCTGCTGCTCGCACTGCAGCCCTGTTAAGGTGGTAGGCGCAGCTTGCATGCTTTGTGCCGTCTTCTGGCTTGGGACAGGACTTGGGCTCTGGGAGAAAAGCAAAGAGGCAAGGAAGGCACGCAGGGACATTGGCTATAAATAAATCACAGAAAGCAGTAGATGCAATCTTCTCTTTGCTGCTGTTCTGGGGCTGGGTCCCAAGACTGTGCCTGAAGGAAAGCTTAACCGTCCTTCTAGATGACGGGCCGTAACCTACCTTCTGCCTGATCAGAGCGTTGGTCCCTTCTGCCCTGGGAGCCTACAACCCTCATTCATCCCTCTCCCCAACGGGCCCAGGGAAGAGAGGTGCTGTGTTGCCCTCGACACAGCACAGTGCCGGCTCACGCCTGGCCTGGTGCTCGGGCTGTGCCGCTGGCAGGAAGGGTTGAGCAGGGCCACCCTCTCTGCTTGCTGCTACCACAACTCCGGCCAGATTCCTTCCCTCACAAATACTGGAGTCTGAGGGGCAGAAGGGACCACTGCTGCTAGACCCCATACTTTGCTGCTGTGTCTTGCTCAGAAATTTGAGTCAGACCTGGGAAATTCTCCAGACCAGAACAGTGAGAGTCTTCCTCCTCTGCAAAACTGTAGTCATCTGGATGTGTTTCACCAAGCAAGTCTTTGTTGTTGGACATCAGGCATTCTCAAGTCCTCCCTGAACCTCTTTTGTGTCAAGAAGGGACTGACTTTCCTCCTGGGTCTCACACAGGACAAGCCAGGTGAGATGAGACAAGATCAGAGCCGCAAGCCGGACCAGAGGACTCCGTGTTTCCCTTTAGTCTTGTATTCTAAAAAACTAGGAATGCAACTGCACAAAGGAACCCCAAACTTTTTTCTAGGTGCTTTCCCCTTCTAGCCATTAGCAGTGCAACACTTTCAAAGAAACAGGAAAAAAGAAATGCTTTCGAAAATGCCAGAGAGACATAACTGTGCCAACATAAGGCGACACTGAGGGCTGCTGTTCTGGATTTTGCCAGCCCAGGGGCTCTGCTGGGAGAAATGCTGTCTGGAAGGGATAACCAGTCCACCACAACACAGCTGGGTTGCACAAGCTGAAGCAGAGCACCCACTGTGAACAGGCATCAACACTGCAGTCTGAGAAGGAGGTACAGCCTGATGCAAGGAAAGGTGCTGAGGAAGAGTCCTGCTGTCACGCAGCAGCCCAGCGCTTGGGTACAAAACCCTGCTCGAGTCTAAGGGAATGGTACAGAAGGCGGCTTTCTCCAGAGCAGGCTGTCCTTGACTTCAGCTCTGCTCCAAAGAGCAAGGAAAGCATCAGGGAGCACAGTGACACTGAAGCATGTCCATGGGCATGTGGGAACAGATTCTGCCCATGGAGAGCATGAAGAGGTGTCAGAGGGAAAAGGCAGCACTCACTACCCCTCCACCTGCCCAACCACCCAAGCCAGGCTAGCAGCAAAGGAGGGACAGTGAGAGCAGTTCACGGTTCCCCAAACCAGAGCAGAGAAGGGGTAGCCAGGAAAGAGAGAAACAGAGTGCAGTCCAGAGGTTCACACCATCTGTGTCTCAAAGTCAAGGCAGATGGGAGATGGGGCAGAGGCACTTTGGTCCCTTCCGAGAGGTGCTTTAGGGTCCAGCCTCTATTGTAGTGTGCAGCACAGCATTTGTGTGGCAGCATCTGTTCTAGCTCATAAAGACAGCAACAAGACACAAGCTCTGACAGCAGATACAAGATGGGGCAGGAGGGATCCATGGCTGGTTTGAACCTTGGAAACCAAATGGCATTCTGAAGCCTCTTTAAAAATGCTATTAGAAACCATTTCTGCATAGGACACCAAAAACATTGCCTGAGTCCTAGAAGTATCCAAGGCTTCTGGACAAATGATGCCCTTGATGAAGCTCTGATGATGGTACCACCCTTGCCCAACAGAGAACAGCAATGCCAGGGGCAGTTTGCACCAACCCCACTACAGGTTAAAGATCCTCTTCTACAGCGTTGCACTGCCCCAAAGCTGCTGCAAGGCAAGAGCTAGGTATGGGGGACACCAACATTCAGAGTGAGCGTTTCTCCTTAGACAAAAATAAAGGGCATGGAGGAGCTGATGTTCAGCACTGCCAGACTACAGCAGTCTGGTCAGTTCTTCTTGCTGCTGGGGCTCTTATTGGTGAACAGACTGACTTTGCTGGCAGATGCCACGGACAGAGAAGGAGACTCCAGCTTCACCTTATCCAACAAAGTCTTCTTTATGGCTGCTGGGGAGATCGTCTCTTGATCTGCCAGATGCTGCAGCTCCCTGCAATGGGGTGGTGGGAGAGAAAGACATAGCAAAAGGAAGAGACAAGGAGCGTGGGGGCAAAGTTTTTCAGGCTCTTTAGGACTTCCTAGGTGCCCACCTTGTCCGGATGCAGGAAGCCTCCACAGCATTGATCAGGAGTGAGCGAAAGCCACCGCTCTCCAGGAAGTGCAGGGCATGGATGGTGGCTCCCCCAGGCGAGCAGACATTGTCCTTCAGCTGACCGGGATGCTGCTCAGATTCTAACAGCATTTTGGCAGCACCCTGTAGTGAGGAAGAGAAAACAGCTGCCAGAGCTCTGACTGAGGAACCAACTGTCACATACTGCACAGAGCAGCACCTAACACTCACAGCGGGCAAAAGCGGGCTCCTGCCTGAGAGCCATTAGCAGGCTGCCAAAACACTTTTCAGAGCTGAAAAAGCCTGCAGAGGAGTCATGGTTCCCCAGGCCCCAGCTCCCACACCACCATCAGCGCCAGCAGATTGCTGCGGACACTTCCTATGTCCCCTCACCAGGAACCTGTGTGCAGTCAAACCAAACAGGTTTTTTTAAAGTAGATTCAGTAAGAGGACCGAGATAATTTCAAACTGTGATGTGCAGAATACTCTGCACAGAGCAGGCACAGACTCAGATATGTTCTGGAGGAGGAAATACTGACCAGCAAAGCCTGTGCTCCAAGTCGAACAGCCAGCCTGCGGGGAAGTCCCATTTTCACTCCCCCATCCGCCAGAGCATCCAGGGCAGTGAATGCCTGAGACCAGACAGAGGAACAAGGTGACTGAAAGTCTCAACTCCAAGACTGATATTCTCAGGGAGGAGAGAATCCAGGGCTCCACGATCATGCTGTGACTCCTGTCACTTACAGACTTGACAAAAGCCTCCCCCTTTGCTGCATGGATGCCATGCCGGGCTTCCCTCCCATTAGTTCCAGCTCAGGAGTGGGGGAAAATGGGAGAAATTCAGCTTCTGGGTGATACTAACTATAGGCCCACGTTTTGCAACATGGACACGTGGACATTGTGTTCTGGCTACGGACTTCAGACTCATCCAACTGGTAACGGACTTTTGTTGTTGACCCAAACTGGTTATAAACTAGATACCTGGATTACATGTCCCATTGCAAATGTGAGTGATGGGAAAAACAAGAAATGAGAAACTGAAGTTGCAAAGACTTTCACCGCATGTAAAGCCTACTGCTCTCCCCAAGACTGTCCCAAGTTGAAGAAGCAGCACATACATACGCAGGGCCACTGCCACTGAGCCCCGTTACAGCATCTATCAGGTCCTCTTCCACCTCGGTGCAGAAGCCTACGCTGGCCATCAGTTGTTCCAAGAGCTTCCCATCCTCCACGTCCGCATGAGTCCCAGTGGCATAGACCGTAGCGCCTTCCCGGACAATCACAGGGGTGTTGGTCATGCACCTGATCACTTTTGGTGTGGGGCAGAAGGTAGAGAGTTTCTTAGGGCAGAAAATTATTTGAGATAGAAAGAAGGAAGGAAGAGAAAGAAAAGAAGGAAGAGAGAAAAATGAGCTTTAGTGCATATCTGGCATACGAAATAGACTGTCTAGGAAGGGACTCCCCAGGGGCAAGAACACCACAAGCAAAGGGAAAAGGGAGACTCCTGTATTCCAAACTCCCTGCTCTGAGCCAAAGACTTAAATGCAAAGTTTTTAGTAGTACCAGCAAACAGGAAGCTGCTGTTGGGAACAATACCCTGAACACCTCATTCCCACATCAACTCACAAGTCTCCAAAACAGCTCGTGCAGACACTTAGCACAAAGTCTGCAGAAATTCAGGGGAGATGACCCACCTCTGTTGAGAGAAAAAAGATCCAATAGCACCTCATGCAATAAAGGACCTGGCATACAGACTCTGATAGCTTTTTCTGATGAGGATACGCAACGGTGACCCAAAGCAACCAACTGGCTACAGCATGAGCTTAGCCCTGGGGAGCACAGGTAACGCCTGCCCCTCGCATCAACCCCCGGGGGGCCGGAGGAGCGGGACCGGCTCAAGGCCGGCTCCCCCACGGTCC